CTGAAAATGGGACAGAGTATGGGACAGTATGATTTTCCAATTTTTTTCGAGATTTTGACTTCCAGTACCCCAATTTGGTTTCATACCATCATCAATTAACTGACTAATTGGTTTGTGGGCAAAAATTTCATCCAATCTGTCAAATGTGCGTTCAGAAATTTTCATATCTGAAAATGGGACAGAGTTTTAAAAATACAACTTTTCGTTTTGTTAAGATTTCTCCTGTGAGCTTCCTCCGACCCAAATCAAATTTTCAGCACCTCGATCGTGTCATTTGGCATCTATAGTTGACTGACTAATTGGTTGCAGGTCAGAAATTCGGCCGAAACTGTAAAATTTCGGCCCTGGAAATTTCAGCTCCAAAAACTGAAAATGGGACAGAGTATGGGACAGTATGATTTTCCAATTTTTTTCGAGATTTTGACTTCCAGTACCCCAATTTGGTTTCATACCATCATCAATTAACTGACTAATTGGTTTGTGGGCAAAAATTTCATCCAATCTGTCAAATGTGCGTTCAGAAATTTTCATATCTGAAAATGGGACAGAGTTTTAAAAATACAACTTTTCGTTTTGTTAAGATTTCTCCTGTGAGCTTCCTCCGACCCAAATCAAACTTCCAGCACCTCGATCGTGTCATTTGGCATCTATAGTTGACTGACTAATTGGTTGCAGGTCAGAAATTCGGCCGAAACTGTAAAATTTCGGCCCTGGAAATTTCAGCTCCAAAAACTGAAAATGGGACAGAGTATGGGACAGTATGATTTTCCAATTTTTTTCGAGATTTTGACTTCCAGTACCCCAATTTGGTTTCATACCATCATCAATTAACTGACTAATTGGTTTGTGGGCAAAAATTTCATCCAATCTGTCAAATGTGCGTTCAGAAATTTTCATATCTGAAAATGGGACAGAGTTTTAAAAATACAACTTTTCGTTTTGTTAAGATTTCTCCTGTGAGCTTCCTCCGACCCAAATCAAACTTTCCAGCACCTCGATCGTGTCATTTGGCATCTATAGTTGACTGATTAATTGGTTGCAGGTCAGAAATTCGGCCGAAACTGTAAAATTTCGGCCCTGGAAATTTCAGCTCCAAAAACTGAAAATGGGACAGAGTATGGATCAGTATGATTTTCCAATTTTTTTCGAGATTTTGACTTCCAGTACCCCAATTTGGTTTCATACCATCATCAATTAACTGACTAATTGGTTTGTGGGCAAAAATTTCATCCAATCTGTCAAATGTGCGTTCAGAAATTTTCATATCTGAAAATGGGACAGAGTTTTAAAAATACAACTTTTCGTTTTGTTAAGATTTCTCCTGTGAGCTTCCTCCGACCCAAATCAAACTTCCAGCACCTCGATCGTGTCATTTGGCATCTATAGTTGACTGATTAATTGGTTGCAGGTCAGAAATTCGGCCGAAACTGTAAAATTTCGGCCCTGGAAATTTCAGCTCCAAAAACTGAAAATGGGACAGAGTATGGGACAGTATGATTTTCCAATTTTTTTCGAGATTTTGACTTCCAGTACCCCAATTTGGTTTCATACCATCATCAATACAGAGTTTTAAAAATACAACTTTTCGTTTTGTTAAGATTTCTCCTGTGAGCTTCCTCCGACCCAAATCAAATTTTCAGCACCTCGATCGTGTCATTTGGCATCTATAGTTGACTGACTAATTGGTTGCAGGTCAGAAATTCGGCAGAAACTGTAAAATTTCGGCCCTGGAAATTTCAGCTCCAAAAACTGAAAATGGGACAGAGTATGGGACAGTATGATTTTCCAATTTTTTTCGAGATTTTGACTTCCAGTACCCCAATTTGGTTTCATACCATCATCAATTAACTGACTAATTGGTTTGTGGGCAAAAATTTCATCCAATCTGTCAAATGTGCGTTCAGAAATTTTCATATCTGAAAATGGGACAGAGTTTTAAAAATACAACTTTTCGTTTTGTTAAGATTTCTCCTGTGAGCTTCCTCCGACCCAAATCAAACTTTCAGCACCTCGATCGTGTCATTTGGCATCTATAGTTGACTGACTAATTGGTTGCAGGTCAGAAATTCGGCCGAAACTGTAAAATTTCGGCCCTGGAAATTTCAGCTCCAAAAACTGAAAATGGGACAGAGTATGGGACAGTATGATTTTCCAATTTTTTTCGAGATTTTGACTTCCAGTACCCCAATTTGGTTTCATACCATCATCAATTAACTGACTAATTGGTTTGTGGGCAAAAATTTCATCCAATCTGTCAAATGTGCGTTCAGAAATTTTCATATCTGAAAATGGGACAGAGTTTTAAAAATACAACTTTTCGTTTTGTTAAGATTTCTCCTGTGAGCTTCCTCCGACCCAAATCAAACGTTCAGCACCTCGATCGTGTCATTTGGCATCTATAGTTGACTGACTAATTGGTTGCAGGTCAGAAATTCGGCCGAAACTGTAAAATTTCGGCCCTGGAAATTTCAGCTCCAAAAACTGAAAATGGGACAGAGTATGGGATCAGTATGATTTTCCAATTTTTTTCGAGATTTTGACTTCCAGTACCCCAATTTGGTTTCATACCATCATCAATTAACTGACTAATTGGTTTGTGGGCAAAAATTTCATCCAATCTGTCAAATGTGCGTTCAGAAATTTTCATATCTGAAAATGGGACAGAGTTTTAAAAATACAACTTTTCGTTTTGTTAAGATTTCTCCTGTGAGCTTCCTCCGACCCGAATCAAACTTTCAGGCCTGTATCCATGTATACTTATTTTTAAATGTTATACGCAAGATGCAAAAAATTTAAACAGTTTGCCTAGTTTCTTAAATTTTGAGCAGCACTTGAAATTTGGTAACGAGTCTTGAACACCCAGTAGTTCATCTGCCACAACTTTTTCATCTTCACTTAATTCGTCTTCCTCAGTGGCATCCTCGATATTCATCCTTAATAGTTAATACTGCTACATTAGCCCCGTCGTGAGTCGAAATTTGGTCTTGAAACACCCAGTAGTTCATATGCCACAACCTTTTCGTCACCATTGTCAACATTTTCTTCATCTGCCACATTTTTGTTTTCGTAAGTAATGATCACCATCTTCGTCATTTTCTTTAAGGTCACTCATACACCATATAATTTTCTTGCAGTTAGCTTTTTATTAGTTCATATGCCACAATTTTTTCATCATCACAATTCATCTTCCTCAGCGTCATCCGATCCTCGATATTGTTGTCGTAGCAGTTAGCTTTCTTAATAGTTAATCTGCCAAAATGTCTGTCTGTGCTATTAAAGTAGCGCTCTTAAAGTGCCCCAAGTTCATATACAACAATCAGGATATCAATGAAGGATCCGGAAATCTTGGTAATAATTTATTTCTTGTTTCGCTCGTGTGTGTTAAGCCATCTTGCTGAGTGTGAAATTACATTAATAATTAATAATTAATGATTATGCTAATATTCAATCAGTTATTGCTCTTTCAAAAGAAATGTTGGTCGAGACTACCAAAAGCTGAAAACCATGAATAAAGATAAACTATATACATAAGTTGGTAAACACAGATTGTCATCTCGTAATTTAACTCAACCGATCAAAAATTGTCAACGTGGCTCGGGTTGCAACTTAACAAATAAAGGTCCTCTGTGTGAATTGAATTTGGATCTTTGGAATTCAAATTAACACCAAACACAGAAAGCTTGCTTATACTTGATTCAATTTTTATCCGATTTCATTAAATTATCTCTTCCGTCACTTTTACCACACGTACAACCCGTAGATTTGTAAATTGTTTGATTAAATGATATTTTTACTTTATTCCGATATAATAAATACCAGTCCTGGTTTCCACCAGGACAGGCGAAGGATCCCCTGCTATGATAGCCTTGCTAGTTGCTTGCCCTGAGAATATAACCCAAAAGCTAGCGATCGACCTCCCGCCTCCGACCAACTTCCGATCGACCTCCGACCAACTTCCGATCGACCTCCGATCGACCTCCGACCGGCGCTCAACTACCGCCGTCCGGCATCCGACCGACCTCCGACCGGCCAGCCTTGTCTGTTATATGACCCATGTTTCTAAGGCTATTTTGTGCTCAAGATGCCGGATAATCTGGCAAAGTGCTTCAATTTTCTCGAAACTTTTCCGGAGGCTCCGAAAAATAAACGGGAGGCATCAACAACGATTCTAAATGTACCACTGCAAATGCGATACTATTCACTATATTGCCTTCCTTAATTTGGGATAGTGTGAAAATTTTCAAATATAAACAGAATCCAAGCTCACCGGTACAAATTCATGATTAGTATTAAAGTAATAATGGCTTACTAACTGTGGTCTGTAATTCTCGGCTAATTTGTTAACTTTTTCGACTGAGCGGATAAAATTATTGGATGAGGCGTCAGGCGTGGCTCTGATCACTAAATTGTGAGTTTTGGATACCATCACACTCACATCCTCACGTCTGCGTCACAGCTTCACAGATCACCGAATTAGGGAAAAGCGGTATTATTTTACATTTCAGATTTGAGAACAGATATTCAAATTGATAATCATTTCTCCTTGATTGGGAAAAGGAGACACTGGCAACGGTCCACTCTACCTTGACATACGTTGCATGCCACTTTTCACCGCAACATGTATCAAACTCTACCTAATTCTGGGTTTTGGTAAAATATTTGATCCAAATTCTGATAAAGTTGGATAATGACAGAAAAGTGGGCGATTTAGAAATATCCGATCCACTAATATTTCATTTAGTCGGTAGTAATTAAGGCCATCGAAAAAAACTTGAAAACTTGAAGCAATACAATTTCGATGATAAATCAAGATAATCTGCCAATCCTAATCGTTCTATTGAAAAACATTAGTATTCAGATTAATTAACTTAATTATACTGAATTATCCATAGACTCAATCCATAGCTGACAGGCGATAAAACCCAAGCCAAGTCCAGCAATCACAAATCAGTGATCCAAACAATGAAACACGCTTTTTCATATTTACAACAATAATAGATTTAACGAAAAAGAAATTTGGTATCCCCTAAAAGCTTCGATAGCTCGGAGTTATAAGGGCTATAGAATTCATCCAATAACTTTGCAGTTTCATTAAGCATATTACCAATGCTCAACTTTGCAATTGTGTTCACATTGCTTGTCTTAGAATTTTCTATAAAATTCCCCAAATCTTCTAAATTTGGTTTTGTTACACCAATATGATTAAAAATTTTGGTGAGAGTTTCTATCGGATGTAAATGATATTCATTCAAACTTACTGTTAAAAGGTTACCCCCAAATACGTCTAAAAAGTCGCTGATGAAGCAAACATAAACCCCAAGTGCAACCCTCAATTTGAGACCATGATCTGAAGAGTAACAGCAATTTTTAAGTGTTTTCTTCTCGAGGCAACTATTAAATTTTCTTAATTCCACAACAACTTCGAGGTGAAATTTCTGTGGAGTTCCACCACGCCCAAAGTAAAGATACTCTGAATACAGTCTTTCAGTAGGGTTTCTAACCATAGCCAATATTTTAGCGTCCGGAGCAACAGCATGAATTAAGTCTGCATTGTGATAAGGGGGCTCATCTAGTCCCGGGTATCTAGTCTCCCATCCTCGCAAGTCCCACAATAAAGAGGGTGTCCCATCTACTATCCTTGCCTCTTTGTTATTCTTCACTTTCTCTGACCCTGTGCCCGCTAAAAACTGACTAAATAATTGTTTGGGGCCCTTTCGGGGTTTCGCTAGAAACCATCCCTGTCGTCCAATTCTTAATCTTGACCAATAGAAATACTCCTTTTGAGAATCGGTAGCTTTTTTATGAGATTGTTCAGTGAGCTGAGGGTGCCACATGAGTTTATCAAACAGGTCCGTGGTGCCACATTTTGGCATCCCTGCTAAATACACAGACGCTAAACACTGAAATTCCTCCTGACTATCAAACCAACAAAAACTCTTGTAATCAGGCATATATGTTTCTGGTAAAAGATCAAACACGTCCTTTGACTCCTCAAACAGTATTTGTAAACTTTTTTGTTTGGTCAAAAAGCTCTCGACTTTATCAATAGATTCAGACAAATTCTGATTTAAGGATGGTTTGATATGTGTAGTTTTCTGTTTAAAAGAAGGTGCGATAGTGTTTCTTTCGTCGCGTTGAAAGGAAAGCACTTTGGTTCCTACCGTGCCCCCTTGCAGTGCTTCGTCGACTAAGACGTTTTCTGTTTCATTTTGAAACACTGCTGCAGATGTTTCTCCTGTGTCTGTGTTTGTGTCGTAGCTCACTTGCTCCAAACTTGAATCTGTTTTGTTGAACGTAGTGTAGGAGTAGGAAAGAGAAACCGGCATGATCGGATATTCGATGTTAAACTTAAATAGTGCCGCCCCTGCAGCAACCAACAGCAACAGTTTTATCTGTAAAGAGAAATGGAATTTAAACGAAAGAAAAATACGTTATATACCTATGTATATTACTATTATTATTATAGTAGTTAAATACGTGTATAGGTATACTGACAGTATAACCTGCAGTTTAAAAGCCCCTCGTAAGGGGATCGTCTCAAATGGACTAATTTAATGTTAACATCACAACCAGTTAAAATAACAGTTTTAAATTAATTTCACTGTTTGAAAAGCATATTAATTTAATATTACAGCCTACAGGTTCTAAACATAGCATTGATATAATGGTTCGGTAAAAAGTGATAGGAATTGAATTAAAAACTTAATTCTGGACGTCAGATTTAGCCCCATTTTACTATTTTACAAACAAAAAAACAATTATGAATTTCTATTACTATAGGACAGTTGGTTGAGAACATTTGAGAGTTAGCCAATACCTTTGTGTATAATGATGATTACAGTCTATGAAATAATTCATTTATTGGGGATTCGAATTACAAACAATAACGACTTACACCATATTTTAATTTCCACTTCCTTGATTTGCAAGTCCCGGTAAAACATTGAAGCATCCTGGAATAACAGAAAATGATAAGAACAATTAGAAAAAATGGTTAATTTTTTATTTGAATTACTGGATTTAGCAAAGACAACAAAAATAGTGCACCTGCAAAGATGAAGCGGAATAGAAATTTATAACTAAATTTAAGTGTCTACTTTAGCAGTGAAAATTCACGTGCTAAATTAATAACCGAACACTGAACAGTACTTGGATTACAACCTCACCGAACAGGATGAAATTAAATAGATCAAAATTGAACTAATACTATGATGAACCTGAAACACTGATTCGCCCCACATATTGTCATTATTGCGGTCATTTTGCACCCCCTATAGGGCTCCTAGGTGTCTTTCTAACAATAGTAACGAGTTTTGAATAGAAGTGCGGTTCTCAGGCTGAGTTAGGCGCTTGGAGAAGATTGCTCTAACTGTTTTCCCAATCAGATCGAGATTCAAAACTCTTTGGGGTGGTTCCTGACACTATGGACAACACATTCCTGCAGAAAACTGCTTGTCGAAAATTTTTTCCTAGACATTGTGAATAATTCCTTAACTATTTCCCATTCATTCACGGCTTACGGATTTTAATAAGTTTCGATAAATTACATCAATCTGAATCGCATGCTGTAAAAATCTCTTTGGGTTGCTTTCGGGTCGATACCTAGTATTTCGGGATAAGGGTGGTAGTAAGTGTTCAATTAGCTGATGTTTATTGAATCTTTATAGCCGAGTACAGTTGCCTTCGGGTAGTTCTTCTTAATCTATTACAATTGTATATGAATGGGAAAGCGAGCGACCGATTTCAATCTCGGTATCATTTTGCATTTGCGGACGGTTATTCAAATTAATATCATTTCCTTTTGTTTGGGAAAGAGAAACAATGGCAGCAGTCCACTCTACCCATGACTCCATGATAATGGGTTTTGGTCAAATATCATCTCTTTTTTATTATAATGTCAGGGTGCCTTTACAAAGTCGAAATTCCGTATAACATGCTGGCGCGTATTTTACGCAAATTTCTTAAAAACCCCTACATAACTATTTCTTATTCCTGTCATCTTTAACATTGAATTAGAATGTTTTGAACTTAAATATACCTGCTGAACTACTATACTTTCGATGAGTCTTAATGCCTGAAAAACAATAAACTAGGGGATATAATATTGTTGCAAAATACAATTTTAATATATTGCTACTGCTAGCGCCAGCTGTCGAAAGTACTTGCTAGCACTGGTTAGCTGACGAATAATATTACAAAGTCCTATTTAGACATTTTGCGCTAACTTGCGCTAACTTACGCTAACTGACAACAGCGCTAGCAATCGAATATCACAAACTCTTCAAACTATCGGGTGCGCGACACTTTCGCACAAATAGCATATAAAGCAATGAAAGGCATTAGTTTGGTCAAATCAAACGGAACATATGCTATAGGACTTTCAACTGACTAAGGCAGGGTTAAGACAATCTCGACGATAGCAACGATCCCCTTTTACATAGTTCCACTAAAATGATAATTTAAGATTAAATATGTATAGTAATAGGTAATTAAGAAAATGTAATAAAACGGTAGGGATAAAGTATACCGAAACGTAGTCAACACGTCATGAAACGAACTGACCCAATAATTAAACTAATAGATCTCCCGCGTAATCTCCCGCGCAATTCTAGAACTCCGATTTGCGCCGTTGCAAAGTTATTATAAAACTAAATTCAACACGTGCAACAAATATTGCGCAACAATAGAAATAGATGCCAATAGGTCAAGCTATGGCGTTAATATATTTCCACACCCAATACCAAACTTATTCTTTAGCCCATGTCTCTTTACCACAGATAAGTATATTTTACTAAGACGATCCCGTCTAAAACCCAACTCAATTAAATCATCAGTAAATAGCGCTATTTAGATTATCGCAAATAAAACGAATGATAAAATGAAAGAAGCAAGCTGCTGCTTCATGTGTCGTACAGAATCTACAGTTATAGTTTTGCTTGCCAGGACTTCATCCAAGTCAGTAGTCACCGCTAATAGTAAATTTAGTGTGCAGAAAATCAGCAGGTTAATTTAAACTGCTCAAAGAGCGTGTTGCTTCTTAAGTTAAACACAACGTTAATGTTTTAACAACAAAATCGATCAAAATATCGCTCTAAAATCTTTGCACGTGCATGTTCACCACCGTTACCATGGTCACTATGCAACTCCCTGTTTTCTACCTAATTTGTACGTGGGCAGTCTTACATACATTATACCTTATACAGACAAACAAACATAATCTTTCGAATTATAAGTAAGACAAGGGAAATAAACCAACTAAGCACACCGTTAAACAATGACCCCCCCCCCCCCCCCCCCCCCCCGGCCCCCCTATATACCTCTCCCCCCATGATCAGCCCACGTCAGCTCAGGAAATTTATCACATTTTTTGGCTAAATTCGTGGCTAAATTGGTTTATAATATCATTTTGCACGAGTCTAAATCGAATAAATTCGTCCAACTTCACAGGGAAATTGAATTTCGTTGATATACAACATACATTTTTTCGTCTCTAATTGTCAGGCGATTAGAGATTACGACTTCGAATCCTTATCACTGTAGACTAAACATTGTCCAATTGTCAATCGCAAAAGTTGATCCTGATAAGTTGATAAGTCTGATCTGGTGTCCAGTGGCGTAACGTTGCCTGTTGGCGCCCCCTGCTAAAAAAACGCCCCCCCCCCCCCCCCCCCCCCCCCCTTAACTTTAAGATCCGTGGTTACACTAAAGAATCGAATAGAACCGAGGAAGTCGTGAAGTGATACGGATTTCCATCATTGATTCGATTATGTGCTCCTTCTATCTAGACGTGATAATACAGATAGCTGGGCAATTACCAAGGTGGTTTTTTAGCTTCTCGTGTTTAACCTTATCGGACCTTATTTAGACGGATGTTAAATGAACGGACATAAAAATGAACGCTAGAAGCTAAGGCATTCAAAACCATCAAAAATCCGAATCTTTTTTTTAACATTTAAAAAAAATTAGAAAATTATTTTTTCCCCTACTAGTAGGGGAATAAAATAATTTTCTGTTGGGCGGTGTATCCGGAAGAAATAGCATGAACTGGGTGAGCTGCGATTTGAAATGCTCTCGGTCGCCGATGGAATTCAAATGGCAATTCAAACAGCTAATTACTTAATTTGGAAAGAAAGATTAAGAAGCCGACTATAAACTGTAAGCCTAGCAAAAGGAACAGTAGAAGTTTGAGTAAGCTTGGTGATGGTTACTGGGCGGCGCTCAGCCTGTCATTCCGCCGAATCTCTATTCGCTATTATGTTTATGAACATAATAGCCTGAGGTCCCCAGGTAAGGTGATGGTGCTGTAGATGTGTCGATTAAGCATCAAAATGTATTAGTTTATGTTAGATTCATACAAATAATAGCTAAGGTGAGACAGAATATTTTATTACAGTCAATAAAGTTGGCATACGATGTAATAATATGACGTAAAATGATACGCATTGTTAACACGAAACAAACCGCGCAAAATATGAAATGATCTACAACCAAACCACATACAGATCGACGGCGACACCTCAGATGCGCGCAGAATTTTACAAGTTCTGCACGCCTAATTGCTAATATAATGACAACGACTATCACGTGCGCGCGCCAAACACCACTCTGGGCGGGATACAATAAATAGTAAAACAATTACATTGTAGGCAGTAGGGAAATTTGATCGTGCGTGGTGTTACCGCGGCGAAATTTTTGTTTCAATGTTCAAGCTTTTGCATTTTTGATTTTCATTTTGCATCACTTCAAATTTTTTTTCTACTTAAGCTTTTGTCTTTGACTAAATTATAATCGTTTTAATTTCCAAAAAAATTCCAATCATTTTGGGCATCTTTTGTGAAAACTGGCCACGGGCCTAAATATTACATATCAATCA